ACCCTCGAGCGTGCTAACATCACACCAATGGTCGTGTAATGGCAACGTCCCAGGACGCATCACCGACTCAAATGAATAACATTGATCAAATAAACGCATGCAGAAGCATACTTAAAACCCCAACAACAAACAACAAAATGGGATAGCAAAGAAAACACTTTGCGATACGAAACAAACGAAGCTATTTTATAAACATAATGTTAACCTGAGGAAGATACATAATTACAAGCCTATCACGAGGCCACTTCCTCAAAGACCAAACATACAAAAAGGGATGTGGATGGTCGGGTTAACCTAACTTCACTATCAAAAGGGGGCGATAAAAAAGATAGGATATCCAAACCCATCATCAAACCCGGTGATACCCAGGAGGCGTCTCCAGATCTGACTCCATGCTATCAGGATCGGACACCAAGTAATCCAAATCGGACTCCGGATCCGTAACAGCCCCGTCCGAAGGGTCGAGATCCATGGGATCCCATACCTCATTTCCCATTCCACCATTAGGTGGTCCATCAAAACCCCTAACAAGCCCGAATAGTCCATCACCATCCCCAAGGAACCAAGCTATAAACTCATGAGGCTTCCACATTGCCAAGCCCTCATCCATCCAGACGGTGGTTGCATGCTTCTGGTACGCCCTATCCGGTCCAATCGGATACTCAGATATAACTGTACCCATATCCATAGGCACTCCAAAACGAGTGGGAGGTCGGTTCATAGTCAGGTTCTGAAAAGAGTTAAACAACAACAATGAGATATAATCTCAGCAAGTTAACGATCTAAGCCTCGTTTAGAAAGTCAACTCGCCTTGGATGCACCTAAAACATCCAGCGTTATAATGATGGCAGATCAATAGCAATGCAACCTCTTACTTTGGCTTAGTTATACATAGTGTTAGGCAACTCATCACAGTATACACAAGCACGCCATCACACAATCGCAAGCATCCTTACCTTGCCTTGGCACATGCCTTACACGTTATAAATCATCACGTGTCGTAATCATGCAATAGGCATATAACCTAATCAGAACACATAGCAACTTTATCATTCGCAATGCACTCAAGCATGTTCTAGTGATTACAACCACTCAGGGTCACGGCACGACCCAAATGTTGTCGGTCTTCTGACATGACTGGGCATCCATTGCGGCAGCTCAGGGCAAGCCCATCCTCGCATGGGGTTCTTCTGATTCATCAGGGTATTAATCACGGCCACTCAGGGCACGCCCGAAATCCATCGGGGGTCTTATAACGGCCATGCAAGGCACACCCGCAATCAGTCGGGGGTTTCATCACGGCCATCCAAGGCATGCCCGCATTCATACGGGGGTAACGGTTTCTCAATATGTGATCACACAAGCACCTAAATCACTCAAGCCAAGTTCATATTTCCTCATTTAACCAAAGTAGATGTGGTTCGTGCTCGCATATCAAAATACTGCAACTTTCATGCCTAAAAATACAGTAATAAATTCACACGTGATCACGTATACATAATTAAACAGTCAAACTTTACATGCTTCCCTTTTTAAACATCCTTGCCCTATTTCACTTATAAAATTTGAAAATTAAACCCGACACCTCAGGGTTTACTATTTATATGTCCACAAAAACTCCTTTAAAAATTAAATAACAAGGTTCGCATAGGGCAATTATTTTTCAGGGTAAAGCAAGCCTTAAACAATATGAAACGAGCATAATTCAACACTTAAATCAAGCAGAAAATACCCATATAAAATTCACTTATCGCCCTAATTGCGGATAGCTTATCACCTAATTGGTGATAGCTTATCACTCAAACACCAATAGCTTATCGTCAAAACCTTGATAGCTTATCATTAAAACCTCGATAGCTTATCATCAAGCTTATCATCAAACCTCGATAGCTTATCGTCTAACTTCGATAGCTTATCATCTAACTTTCCGATAGCCTATCGCAAGTTGATAACCTATCAATTAATTAATCACCATTAATCACTAATCACCTAATTAACTTAATATAAACTAATCCTAATCAAGTTTATAGTACTAATCAAAGGATTAGAGCGTTAACTCACCCGTTAATGATTCCGACGACACGGGCTCGACGGTAGTGGCGAGGGCTACACGTGGCTTGGTCCGGAAACACACGAAGTGGTGACGACAGCACAAATAGCAACACAGCAAATTCTGTGGGTTGTTTTTGGCTTGTGGTGAAGGCGAACCGGCGAGGAAATGGCTTGGACGGACGGCACACAGTGAGGGGGCAGTCACAGCGCTCGGCGGTCGGTGGCGTTGGCTCCACGGTAGCAAAAACAACAGCTAAGGGGGTCGATTTTGCTGGTGGCCGAAGGAAAGAAGAGAGGGGAGTTTGCCGGTGGAAGAGAGAGAGGAGAGACAGTCAAATGAGAGTTATCTCTCTCATGCAAGTAGTCTTCCTCAAGCCAAGACCAATTCCCAACCATTTTCATCATTTCCCCTCATTAAGACCAAAGACTTTCTCTCCCTTTTGTCACTTCTCAATAAATGCTAGAAGGGTATTTTGGTCATTTTTCAAATTATAGTATAAAATACTATACGCGTATATGAGCTAGAATTTTGTACGAGCTCGTATAAATCAAGTTCGGGCTTAAAAGGATAAAGAATGGGCTTGAAAATGGTAAAGTGGGCTTAGTGGGCCTCATTGGGCCCACTTGAACTTGATTGGGCCCTATGGACTAAACACACATTGGCGTGAGGCCCACTTCCTCATGGGCTCCAATTCTCGGCCCAAAATTTCCTTTTGAGAGAATTTTGAGAGAACCGATAAATCGAAGGATTATCGAGGCAATGCCCAATAGGTTAGTCTTGAAATCCTTGGAAGTTTAATACCCAAATCCGGATTTTAATTCATGGTCAAAATCGATCAATTGCGACTTTAATAGATCTCAAACTAATGGGCGGCTTTTAGGAGTTACGCGTATTCGACACGTGGTTGATTTGATCAAACCACGTTTAAGCTTTCTCGAGTCATAGATGATCTCGATTGTCATGTAATTGCGAAGGGTTAATCGCTAGTTCCAAAGTACACGATCGTTAGGAATTGGTTTAAGGTCATTCGCAATCCATACAATGGTCAGGCAGAATCACCCGCGATCCGATTGTATACTATTGGCGAATTATTCTATAACTGTTCCTTGATCGGTCTATAATGGCTCAAAATTGTCCCTCGTCAATCCTTATGGTCGAATTGTCAATCCATGGTCGAGTTCTCAGGTCGTCCGTACTTAATTACTTAACAGCCTCTCCTTATTGATTAGTCTTCTCATGAGTGATCAATTCAGTGCAAGATTTAACTAACAGTGCATCGATGAAATAATCGTTTCATATATCTCGAAAAGGGTCGAATTTTTGGATGTCACAACTCTTCCTCTCTTACAAAAATTTTGTCCTCGAAATTTGAATTAACCAACGATTCCTCAAAAAGATAAGGGTGCTGATGCCTCATTATTTCTTCGCTTTCCCACGTGGCTCCTTTTGTTCCATGATGCTGCCAAATCACCTTAACCAAAGGGATCGTCTTGTTCGGCAACACCTATTCTTTTCTATCCTCAATCCACACTGGCCTTTCCACGTACGACACTTTGTCGTGCACGTCTATTTCTTCATAGTTCAGCACGTGGGTCGGATCAGGTTTATACTTTCTTAGCATGGACACGTGAAAGACATCGTATACTTGAGCCAATTTTGGTGGCAAAGCTAGACGATAAGCCAAGATTCCAAGTTATTCCAAAATCTCAAATGGTCCAACATATCTTGGGCTTAACTTACCCTTTTTGCCGAACCGCAAAGTTCCTCGCATAAGTAACACTTTGAGGAAAACGTGATCTCCTACTTGAAATTCCAAAGGTCTACGTCGTTTATTCGCATAGCTTTTCTAACAGCTTCGAGCTATCTTAAGCCTTTCTCTGATGATTTTAATTGCTTCAACTGATTGCTGCATCAACTCCGGGCAAGTAATTCTCCTTTCTCCAACCTCATCCCAATATATCGAAGTTGTATAGGCTCTACCATACAATGCTTCAAATGGTACCATTCTAATGCTCTATTGATAGCTATTATTGTAAGCAAACTCAATGAGATGCAGTTGTTCTTCCCAACAGCCCTTGAAATCCAAAACGCAAGCTCGCAGCATATCCTCGAGAGTTTGAATCATTCTCTTGGATTGACCATCTGTCTGCGAATGATAAGCTATGCTATACTGCAGCTTCGTTCCCATGACACTTTGAAGGCTTTTTCAAAATGTCATGGTGAACTTGGGATCTCGATCCGAAGTGATCATCACCGGTAATCCATGAAGACGAACTATATGTCGCATGTACAACTCCGCGTATCTGTCTATGGCGAAATCCTAGCCACTCGAGTTAACCAAAACTCACATTTACTAATCTTGGCATACATCTTATGATCTCGAAGAGTTTGCAGCACTATCCTCTAGTGCTGTTCGTGTTCCTCTGAACTCCTCGAATACACCAGAATATCATTAATGAACACGATCACAAACTGGTCCAAATATTTCTTGAATACCCGGTTCATCAAATCCATAAAAGCTGCAGGTGCATTTGTTAGACCAAACGGCATTGCAGTAAATTCATAATAATCATAACGCGTTCGAAATGCCATCTTCGGTATATCCTCCTTTTTAATCCTCAACTGATGATAACCCATCCGCGGGTCTATTTTGGAAAATACTGAAGCTCCTTGAAGCTATCAAACAAATCATCTATCCTTGGCAACGGATACATATTCTTAACCGTCACTTGATTCAACTGCCGATAGTCGATGCACAAACGCAATGAACCATCATTTTTCCTTACAAATAAAACTGGTGCTCCCCAAGGTGATGCACTAGGACGAATGAATCCTTTGTCCAACAACTCCTGTATCTCCACCTTTAATTCCTTCAGTTCCAATAACGCTATTCTGTAGGGTGTTTTGGAAATCGGTTCCATCCCATGGGTTAACTCAATGGCAAATTCTATTTCCCTTTCTGGGGGTAACCCATGCAATTCCTCAGGAAAGACATCGGGAAAATCATGCACTCAGCTATGTCCTCCATCCTTAGTTCCTCAACCAATGAATTAACCACGGTCTCTAGATAACCTTGGCATCCTTCGTCCAATAGCCTAGTTACTTGAAGCGACAAAATTAAAGGGATCGAGGTTCCTCCTCTATCTCCCACAAATTCATATCTAGAATGACCAATCGGATTAAATTGGATGATCCTATTACAACAATCCACTACGGCTCTTTGCTTCACGAGCCAATCCATCTCGATGATGACATCAAAGTCATACATCGCTAAAATCGCTAAATCTATCACTTCCTCCCTACCACCAACAATTATCTTATTGCCTGGACACCCTACCGAAACCAACACTTCATCCTTTAGTGGGGTGGTAACACTAAGAATTACTTTCAAAGGTTTCGGTTTAAGCTCCACTAACTTAACAAACTGCTCAGATATAAATGGATGTGAAGCCCTCAGATCAAACAGTGCATAAGCAGCATGATCCCGAAGAGAGACCGTACTTGTAACCACGTTAAGCGAATCCTTCGCCTCCTTCCTAGCTATAGCATACACTCTTCCCTGTGCCTGCGGTCGATTCAGGTTGTTCTGCGGAGCGTTCCCAGCCGGTTGTCCCATTTGCAGCTGTTGAGGTTGCGTCCTTGACTGTCGACGGGGATAATTCCTTGCAATGTGGCCTTGTTGGCCGCATTCAAAACATGCTCCAATTTTGGATGGGCATGGGGCTGTTCCATGTTTCCTTCCACAGAATCGGCACCTACCATTCGAGTTATATGCTGATTTCCCAACACCATCCATGTTAGGAGGAATGGAATGCCTTCCTCCAGTCATCGGTCTCTTCCTAAACCGACGATTATCCCTATTAAATGCAAATCGCGATCTAGATGCGGCTGCCTGTTCGGCCAAATTCCTCTTAATCAGATGGGCCCTCTCATATAGCTCATTGAAATCCTTGAGATTCAAGGGCACCAGCTGGTCTTTAATTTTCGATTTTAAACCATCTCGGAATCTCCTCGCTCTGTCCACTGGGTCCTTAATTAACCTTGGTGCGTACCTAAAGAGCTCTGCGAACTTCGCTTCATATTGGTCAACTGACAATTGGTTTTGATAGAGTCGCTGGAACTCACCCATCTTTTGTTCTCATGCAAAATTCGAGAAGTACTTTCCATTGAAAGCTTCGACGAAGGCATCCCACACCGGAGCCATACCTTTAGGGAAAATCCTTCCTTGGGTAGCTTCCCACCAAGTGTTAACGTTACCTTACAGTTGGTAAACAGCCAGTGTTACCTTATCTTCCTCAAAACACCTTAGCAGTGCAAAAACTTTCTCCAATTTCTTCATATAGAGGGTTGCGGCATTAGGATCACCCGCCCTATTGAACTTTGGCGACTTCATTTTCAAAAACTGCTCGACCAGTTTATGCATTGGTCGATCCCCAATCCCGTTCCCAGCTAACAGGACTTCGACAGGTGCGGCGGCAGCAGCGGCCGTGGCTGTCACATCCCGATTTTGGGCCTGGGAAACCGCAGGTAAATTGTATTATCCTCAATTTTAGTCCCTGGGAGTTGGCTATGGTTTAAGTTTGATGGTTTTCCAATCGGAACTAAATTGTTTACTCTTGTTTTGGAAAACCCAGTTTCGGATCCTTTGTATCCCTTCGTTTTGTTATTTTTGAGGAGACTTTTGTGATCCGAATTTCAGAATACTTACTTCTTGAAAGTTGTTTCAAAAATCTTGACGTTTTACATAATTTAATTTCAGAATTTTTGGAGTTGATATGAGTGGTACGATGGACTGATTTTCGGACCGTGTAAAACTGCCCAGAATGGGTATTTCGGTGATGTTCACACCGTATTTATTTTCTACAAGCTTTTCTGGGCCGATTTTGGAAATGTTTCCTTCATGAAAGTTGTTGAGAACTTCCTTTTCTATAATGTATATAAATTTGGGAATTTTCCGAGATGATTTGGATTCTGGACAGAGCTTACTTTGAGAAACAAGAATGCTGTTCCAGCGAACTGTTTTTAGCTTGTCTTTGAGCTACTAAAAATGGTGTTTACAGAGAGATTCAGATTTTTTACTCTTCATGAAAAATGTTTTTTAAAGTCTTCTTTATGACATATTGAAATTTGAGAATTTTCGAAGTCCATTTACTATGTTTTCAAGTCCGATTTCGTGAACAGTGCAAAACTGTCCGGTTTTGTCAGATTTCAAAGATTCGGCATTTTCTATACGAGAACGTTGGAATTTGGACTTGGTGTCTTCTGGTGATTTAAAGTACATGTTCCGAGCTTTCAAATGAGATATTTCATACTTTGATTGGAGAAAACCCTAGAAAGTTTGACTAAGTCAAACCTTATCATCTTCATCATTACTCTCATTTATTGCTTGGCCTTCTTTTCCACAAGCCTTTATGAAGCCATTATGAAGCCTTGGTCATCAAGTATTGACCAAGAGGAAGCAAGGAAGCCGCGGCAAGGAGGGGGAGAGAGAGAGAGACCCACGACCAAGCTTGAGGAGAGAGAGAGGCTATTAATGCTTGGATGACACGCACGCTTACCTCACCTCCCCGATGACACGTGCGCTTACCTCATCCAAGCTTTGGCCCCAAGTTTGTCTCTCTATAAATAGGAAGAGGGCCATTCGGCCAAAGAGAAAGAGAGAGAGAGAGAGAGAGAATAGCCGTGAGGGAGAAAGAGAGAGAGAGAGGCCATTCGGCCAAGAGAGAAAAAGAAAAAGAGAAAACCGAGAGAGAGAAAGTCAAGGGAAAGAAAAGAAAGAGGTCGACACCGTGAGTTGCCGAGATCCCGAGGCCGTCGTCTTTCCCATCCATTTTCTACTCTCTAGTTCTGGTTTCGTTAAGTGTAAGTGGATTCCCTAATATCGGGAAATGATGTTGAGATGCGTTGTGACGTGGTTTGCTTGGACCGTTTCTCGGTCGTTTGGTTGGTCGTAGTTGGTTCATTTCTCGATTTGATCATGTTTCATGTTTGATGTTGTTTTGAGATAGAGCCGAGCCTTGGTTTGTAAAGTGTGCACGATGTGGCCATGCGTGATGTTCTCTTGTTTGAACTTTGCTATTGATCGGCCATCGATGCGGGTGCGGTAAGGGCCGACTTATGTTATCGGCGATTGATATATCCTCGCTTGATATTAGTGTTTTCACTTGCTGAGTCTCCCTGACTCATCCCCCGTTGTTTCCCATTTTTTTTCAGGTCCGTAGGATGGCATCTCCCCCGGCCCGCATTGGCAATCCCGTGGAGCAGAGAGCCGAAGTGCTCATCGTGATAGATGTCAGAAAAGACCGCGCCTACCGTCGAATCACGATGCTCGTGACGATTCGATGAGGGCCTAACGGACTTGGTGCCTCATTCGTGCGTAGGTTCAACGGTGCTTTGGCAGTGCGGCGGGACGGCTCCGGGATAAAGCCACGGGTGGGATGTGAGATGGCCAGGCGGACGGGACCAGGGTGAAGGTGAAGAAGCGAGGAGCGAGAAGCCGTAGTGGGTATAGGTTAACCCAAGTCAAGATTTGCTATTCATAGTCGGCGATGAAATATGTGTTGTTTGCCATGGCCCGAAGGGCTTGTAAAACATGTTCGCATGAATTATAAACATAAGGTTTGCTCATGATGCTTCTTGTCTTATTTCCGCTGTTGTTTTGAATGTGATTGTCCCGATATTATGCTTCCGCTCATGTGTAAAGAAAGAAAATAATGAATGGGACGTCACATGAATGACCTCGAGGTAGGGGCGTCACAGTGGCAGCCACAGCAGGAGCAACATCAGCCGCAACAACATTAGCTTGGTTCTGAATTAAAATCCAAATTCGGGTATTGAACTTCCAAGGATTTCAAGACTAACCTATTGAGCATCGCCTCGTTAATTCTCCGATTTATCGGTTTGCTCAAAATCCTCGGAAAAGGAAATTTTGGACCGAGAATTGGAGCCCACGAGGAAATGGGTCGAGCGAAGGCCCATTGGGCCTCACGCCAATGTGTGTTTAGTCCATAGGGCCCAATCAAGTTCAAGTGGGCCCAATGAGGCCCGCTAAGCCCACTTTACCATTTTCAAGCCCATTCTTTATCCTTTTAAGCCCGAACTCGATTTATACGAGCTCGTACAAAATTCTAGCCCATATACGCGTATAGTATTTTATACTATACTTTGAAAAATGACCAAAATACCCTTTCAGCATTTATTGAGAAGTGACAAAAGGGAGAGAAAGTTTTTGGTCTTAATGAGGGGAAATGATGAAAATGGTTGGGAATTGGTCTTGGCTTGAGGAAGAAGACTTGCATGAGAGAGATAACTCTCATTTGACTCTCACTCACTCTCTCTCCTCTCTCTTCCAGCGACAAACTCCCATCTCTCTCTCTATTCTCCCCCTCTCTTTTTTCCTTCGGCCACCAGCAAAACCAGCCCCATTGGCTGCTGTTTTTTCTATCGTGGAGCCACCGCCACCGACTGCCGAGCGCCGTGATCACCCCCTCGCCGTGTGCCGTCCGTCCGAGCCGTTTCCTCACTGATTCGCCTTCACCACAAGCCAAAAACATCCCACGTAATTTGCTGTGTTGCTATCTGTGCCGTCGTCGCCACCTCGTGTCGTTTCTGAACCGAGCCACATGTAGCCCTCGCAGTCGCCGTCGAGCCCGTGTCGTCGGAATCGTTAACGGGTGAGTTAACGCTCTAATCCTTTGGTTAGTACGTTAAACTTGATTAGGATTAGTTTATATTAAGTTAATTAGGTGATTAGTGATTAATGGTGATTAATTAGTTGATAGGTTATCAACTGGCGATAGGCTATCGGAAAGTTAGATGATAAGCTATCGAAGTTAGACGATAAGCTATCGAGGTTTGATGATAAGCTTGATGATAAGCTATTGAGGTTTTAATGATAAGCTATCAAGGTTTTGACGATAAGTTATTGGTGTTTGAGTGATAAGCTATCACCAATTAGGTGATAAGCTATCCGCAATTAGGGCGATAAGTGGATTTTATATGGGTGTTTTCCGCTTGATTTAAGTGTTGAATTATGCTCGGTTCATATTGTTTAAGGCTTGCTTTACCCTGAAAAATAATTGCCCTATGCGAAACCTTGTTATTTAATTTTTAAAGGAGTTTTTGTGGACATATAAATAGTAAACCCTAAGGTGTCGGGTTTATATGTCAAATTTTATAAGTGAAATAGGGCAAGGATGTTTAAAAAGGGAAGCATGTAAAGTTTGACAGTTTAATTATGTATACGTGATCCCGTGTGAATTTATTACTGCATTTTTAGGTATGAAAGTTGCAGTATTTTGATATGCAAGCACGAACCACGTCTACTTTGGTTAAATGAGGAAATATGAACTTGGCTTGAGTGGTTTAGGTGCTTGCGTGATCATATATTGAGAAACCGTTACCCCCGTATGAATGCGAGCATGCCTTGGATGGCTGTGATGAAACCCCCAACTGATTGCGGGTGTGCCTTGAACGGCCGTTATGAGACCCTCGATGGATTTCGAGCGTGCCCTGAGTGACTGTGATTAACACCCTGATGAATCAGAAGAGCCCCATGCGAGGACGGGCTTGCCCTGAGCGGCCGCGATGGATGCCCAGTCATGTCGGAAGACCGACAACATTTGGGTCGTGCTGTGACCTTGAGTGGTCGTAATCACTAGAACATGCTTGAGTGCATTGCGAATGATAAAGTTGCTATGTGTTCTGATTAGGTTATATGCCTATTGCATGATTACGGCACGTGATGATTTATAATGTGTAAGGCATGTGCCAAGGCAAGGTAAGAATGCCTGCGATTGTGTGATGGCGTGCTTGTGTATACTGTGATGAGTTACCTAACACTATGTATAAATAAGCCAAAGCAAGAGGTTGCATTGCTATTGATCTGCCATCATTATAACGCTGGATGTTTTAGGTACATCCAAGGCGAGTTGACTTCCTAAATGAGGCTTAGATCATTAACTTGCTAAGATTATATCTCATTGTTGTTGTTTAACTCTTTTCAGAACCCCGACTATGAACCGACCTCCCACTCGTTTTGGAGTGCCCATGGATATGGGTACAATTATATCTGAGTATCCGATTGGACCGGATAAGGCGTACCATAAGCATGCAACCACCGTCTGGGTG